TAAGCAAGGTCATTTGTTTGTGCGCGAGTGGCCTCTTTGTTTCGTTTCGCGCAATATGACTGATGAATAAGATAATGTCTCCACAATGGATTTTGCTCCATTATTAGTAATAACGGTAAATCGTTCAGCCAAAAGGCATCTTTTCATTTTTCACTCCTTTAAAAATTTTCTATTAAAGGTGACACTGATAAATCAACATTGCAATTAATGACTACTTCTACTTAAAATTCATAAAGGCAATTTCGATTATAATTCACAAAGCATTATCTATTCTCAGTTGTATACGCAAGGAATTGATTTTATAATTAATTTTATTTATTAAATATGTACAAAATTGGGATTCCAGTCTCTTAATTAAATTCACATTATTATGTTCAAAGTAATTCCAGTTCTAAAACCGAGTATAAACCTTATATTACTGTTTCTTTTCTTTATTTTCTAAAAGCTTATTGATTGTTTCTGACCAAAAAAGAGCAAAAGCTTTTTATCGGAAATACTTTATTATTAAATATTGCCAACGACCAAAGTACAGATAGCATTTGTCTGTACATTTGAAAGCATTTGGATTAAAATTGAATTTTCTTAGAAAATGCTCACGGAAAACAAAAAATTATCAAGTCACCAAAATTAATTTTCATACTGAACATTTTTTTAATACAAACTATGGTAAAAACGGGATGGGCAGTGTACAAATATCGTCAGGGATTGTATGATTTACGATATCAATAAGACTTTATTTACTTGATAGAATGTTAAGCGATTCACAAATCCGAACATTGCGAAGATATTTGGGTTATAAGTTCCTATTTTATGGAGTTTTTAAAATATACAAACATCCCCTTTTTAATGGAAAAAATTGCTTACAGTTTATTTCAATATCAGTACAAGAAAATTATCCTGACTTTAGAATTTAGAAATTTGCAATGGAAGCCTTCTGAATAGGATTTGTGCACGCCTTTAGATTCTGAATCTGAGTGACAAAGAAAAAAAAATATATATTGATTCAAAATTAAAACATTTTTAGGTTTTCTAATGCACCATATCTCCCAAACATTCATCCGAAACTACTTATAGATGAAAAGCGTTTGTATCCTGTTTTTTTAGAAGAGTGAACGTATGCCATATATTAATTCAGTCCTGAGTCATAACTGCTTGATCTTTGGAAAGTAAAAAAAAAAAAAAAAAATGTGATATTCCAAAGATGCACAACTCTTGATTATTTCGACAGCAGCAACAAACAAAAGTGATTTTTAATGTTTTAGACTTGAAAGTTAAACTTTTATTTTATTTTTATTAAATGACCAATCAACAGAGAACACGGACATTTATAAAATCCTATAAACTTGGAATATTTTCTTTATTTCTTATAGTAACAAACTTTAATCCAAGTACTTGAAACTGAAAAAAATGTTATTTAATTGGTTCCTTAAATTGCAGGTTATTGTTTGAAGGACTTTCAAATGGTGAGAAGCAAAGTCAAATGGGACACTAAGATTACGCAACGCGGCAGAATGAAGACTATGCAATAATCTTCATATATAAATGGCTGAAGACGTAGATACGTCATCGATACGTCACTCTTAAATTCCAATTCCAAGATACCGTGCTTACAATGTTGAGGTCTGGACGCTCGCCAACATTTTGCAAATTCTGTCTTTTACTGCACTGACCAAAGATTTTGTGCATTGCATCATTATCAATTGCCGTATTTCAGATTTAGTTGGTGATTAATGAAAAATCATTTGCCTGTCTCTACCATTTTGATAAGATTTATTTTTTAAACTGAGCAAGATTCTTGAATAGAAATTTGTCATAAAATTTTCTATACAAAACCTGCAGATGTAAATATGAAGTGGTGCGCAAAATTTCTCGGCCCGACCTACTTCACAAAACCTGATCAAATGGTTGATCATGAGATTGGATTTTTGAAGGGCTTCTTAGTCAAGCTTTTCAGTGCCCGGCTTATATTGGCTTTTATAAAAGAGTAAATGGCCAACAGGAATCTTATTGGTATTTTTTAAATTTAGTTTAGTCACAAACCTGAAGCACCAAGGGATGATCAATTTTACTTTACTAATAACGACCAACAAGACTAACTTCTTACCTACTACTCTACAGCACAACGCCCTCGACGGAAATTGTCGATATTTCTTCTAATAAATTTTATTACATAATCGTAGTGATTTGTATTATAACTTTGTTGTCATAAGACGAAGTGTAAAAATGATTTGAATTTTGAATAAATACATTATTTTATTTTTATTCATAAACTTTATAAATTGTTCTTCACTGTAAAATATTCTGATAAAATCATTAAATCAATTGTTTTAATTATCACGCATTGAAATAAAAAATCCTTAATTACTAATACTTAAACTGTTTGAATATTATTTCAAATAGGGGAAAATTTCTTAATACGTTTTGATACACCATGATTTTAGTCTTTCTCCTTTTAATAGTACCAATTCTTCGTATTATTAAGTGTATGATGATAAAAAAAAGTCAAAATTAAACAAAACGATGTTGCCTCTCAGTCTGATATTTTTTTCTGGCAAGCCGACATTTTTGTCATTCGATGCATTGGCAATGAATACTAATCTGCTTGTAATGACAGATTACAAACTTATGGCGATTAATGGCGGTAGAGATCGTCATAGATGATAATATGATTAAAAAACAGAAAAGAGTAAACCTTTTTGAAGTTTTCTATTTTAAGTTTTCTACATCGTTTATCAAGCATCATTCATCAGATTGAATAAATAAGAATTACGTATTTCTACAATAATAGTACATATTTCAATAGATGCGTTTCCGATGTTTCTCAGATTTCCTAAAGCAAACACAACGGTAGTGTTGGAAATGTTAGTGATTATATTGTACCAGTAAACATACACACAATTTCTAAAAGATTTGCATAACTTTAAATCGAGATTTTATAATTGTTTTATTTTTAATTTAGTACAAATCAAAAGCTTTATGATTATGATAGTAATACCTAACTTAAAAGAATAACCGTTTCTTTTTTATATTGACACCAAGAAATAAAAAATACCCGTTTTCTCAACAACTGGCGACATTTTACCTGTGCATCCTATGAAATGTGAAGAAAAACAAAGATTCTTTCATTACATGACTAAGAGATCCGAAACATTCATATCTGAGAGATTCTTTTTGTCTATAAAATGTAGTTACAATTTTGCTATCGGTAAATTTCTAATCTCTTCCAAGTGAATCATTTATAGAATGGGTTTACTCAGTTTACAAATTGTTTAACCAATATTTTCCTATCATTCAACTGATTTTTATCCAATAAATTGTTAATTTGTCAATTGGGCGTGTCTGTTAAGTAGAACATATTTTATCAATTTGATAACGTAAAAAAGTTTTTTTTAATCTCTAATTTCAAAACGCATTTGATACAAATTAAAATTAATTCAACAACCAAATTATCAATTGAATTTTAAAAAACTTCAATCCATTTTGAAGCTTAGAAATCATTGTTAACAATCTTCAACTTGTGATCCACAAATGTAATTATATTTATGAAATAGCCATTTTCAATATCAAATCAGGATTAAGTAAAGAGTAATTACATGTTAATTAAAGTAGATCTAATATTTGCTATGGGCTGAAAATAACTTGAGCTTCATGCTTGCCTGTCTGCTCACCAGCCAGAATGCAATTCATGATAGTAATTTTCCATGGCTCCATTCTCTTTAATGTATTGTCCCAAGCTAACTTTCATAAATTAAAATAGCTCCTGTTATAGAAGAACGCGATTCGTTCCAGATGCCACCTCATTATTTAATTATTTATTCAATTTGTTTAAAACATGATATAGTTTGCAAATGTTATTTTTAACCTTATACTCGGCACAGATGGATATAATTAATATTTCTACAAAATAATTTATGCCAAGAAATTTAAAGACGAGGTGAATGCAGTATGCCTTTAATATTAATTAGTTTATGACAGGGTGCTAAAAGCTTTTAACGAAGAAGAAATTACAAAAAGAAAACTCTTGATATTTGGTCTGATTTTGGGTCGTAGTTCAAGCCTAGAACTTTTTAACGCCACTTCATATGTAATGATTTAATTTAATACTTACTAAGCAGAATAGGATTTTTGATAACAAAGCTTTGGTGTAGATTAAATGTAAAAATAACTGATATTTACTTATAGATTGCAAGATTTTTAACAGTACAAAATTTTATTTTATTTTTCAAATCGGACCTTTTCCCTTGATTTTTCAAAAAAAATGTACTTCAAAATGTTGTTTTTTTCCAATAAAATCTGAATTTCAAAATAACCACCTTTTAAACTTCCTTCAAATGAGATAAACCAGCAAGTAATAAAACATTGCAATATCAGCAAATATATCGTATTGGATAAATTATAACACTTGAATTTCAAGGTGCGAGGAGGAATTCGCTTTCCCAATGTATTAAACAAAGTTAGCCATTTACGCCATTGTATTCTAGAAAATATGGTAAAACTATATATCAACACTAATTATTCTCTTAATGTCAATGAAGATATTCACAAATATAATCTTACTAAAATAATCAAATCTTAAAACATATCTCCCATTTATTTTTCATGCATCGAGATGAAGATAAAAATGCCAACTTTTGGCCACATTATTTGTAATAGTGGTGTTTGGCAATATGCAAATTACGACCTCTTATAAAACGGTTTGCTTGAGCAAATGATTGAAATGAACAAATTACACTTTACTTCATCATATTTATAACAATAATTTAGCATTAAGTGATTTTGTTTTCTTTTTAATTTTGCAATATTTTCGTTTAATCTGTTGTGTGGCTATTTTAGATCACATTTGCTCTAACATTTTCTTTTTGGATTTTGTTGTATTGATTCAATTATCATAGTATCCATAGTTATTAAATAACAGGACTTATTTTATATAGTAAATGAAATAAAAGTATATTCATAATCATATCATTGTTAAAATCATGTGTTTTATTGTTTATTTTTAGCCTGCTGTCAAGACTATTGATGAGGAAGCTTCCTCAACAAGTGATGATAGCTCCAGCATCTCAAGTGATGAGAATAAGGAGCGTGGAAATTGGACAGGGCGACTGGATTTTATTTTGTCATGTGTTGGATTTGCTGTTGGTTTGGGCAATATCTGGCGTTTCCCTTACTTGTGCTACAAGAGTGGTGGAGGTGAGTGAATATTTTTTCTTCATATTACAATGAAAACACTGACTTGAAAATAAGTTGTAAAGTTATGAGAAATTTCAGATTATTTTCATTCAAGCCAAATATAAAAAGTAAAACCTTTAAACTTTGCATATTTGCATGCTGAAGATAGATAAGCATTTTTTTTATTTTTTTTAGAAATATTCACCAATAAAAATCTACAAGTCTTTAAATGATGCCTAAAACCTTATTCAATATTACAGTGACCATATAAGAATATTTATAAGCAGAACCAAATATACCACAAGTAGTCATCTACAAGAGTAACCTGATTAAGTTTGTATCTGTTCGAGTAAACATGATTATAAAATTAAATTAATAATAGTATCATAGATTTCCAATTATCACTACTGCCTGTTCTACAGTCTGACCACATCAAAACACTATTTCTCTTAGAATCACTAACATTGAGCAATGCTATTTTAAATACCAATATAGACCTACTGGAAATAAAAATGGAAAAGTGAAAATGCTTTCTTTGCTGTGGAACTTTAATCTCAAAATAATTTAATAATAATTTTTGGTATTAGGATATGGACATTAAATATTGTGGCTGTATTATTTATTTAATGTTCATATTTTAATTTATGTAATTATTAAAATATAAAACATGTTATTATAATTTTTCCATCTGACATGGTGATAAATTATTACTGGTAATTGATTTATCACAAAAATCATCGATAGAATTGCATTGCTTCCATTTAGAAAAACACATTTGATTTAGTCTTGTTTAAAATACAGCAAACTCGGTGAGGAAAACTGTTTAAAAAATGTTTTAATTTCTTAATTTCAGGAGCCTTTCTCATTCCCTACTGTTTATTCCTTGTACTTTGTGGATTACCTTTGGTCTTCATGGAGACAGCATATGGCCAGTTTGCCAGTCTCAGTCCTGTGACTGTCTGGAGAATCAGTCCCTTATTCAAAGGTGAGTTCTACTTGATATTCAGTGTTAGAATTTTCCCCTACTCTAATGAATATTCAATTTGTATCATAATACTTTAAATTTAAAATACTTTATTTTCTTTACAGATAACAAGTATATATACTTTAACCATACTTAATTAAACTTTATTTTTGTAACTCAGAAAATATTACACTACTTAAAAAAAACTGTTTAAAGAAAAATTATAGTTAAGTTTTATTGCTGCTTCAACTCTTGAAAACAAAGAGTTTTCTTTATTCTTTACCTTTTGCTGATACCATTTTTCTTCTCTTATAGGTGTTGGGTATGGAATGGTAATTATATCTGGTATTGTATGCATCTATTACAATATCATCATCACATGGACCCTATACTATCTATTCTATTCATTCCGTGCAATCCTACCCTGGAGTCATTGTGAAAATGATTGGAACACAAAACACTGTGTGGTGACAGTAAAAGAAAATGAAACTGAATCTGTAAATAATACTTATCTTAACAACATGACATCCAATACTTCAACATTGAGCTTCAATGCCACTAATGTCACTCAAGCGGTTGCAACAGTTTTGAATTCTGCTGACACTGAAACTGTTAACAAAACATTTAAAATGTCTCCCAGTGAAGAATTTTGGCAGTAAGTATACCCTACATGGCTTCATGTGCAAATCTATGACACACATGGCAGATTATCAGCATAAATTTCTGTTCACATATATTACCTGAACCTTTTAAATGTCAACAGAAATATTCAAATAAGATATACAAACTTTTTATTTCAAACCTATGAATTTTACATTGATAAAATTAAGTATGATTTTAAAATCAGATGGAATTCTGAGTTTAGATCAAATTATTTAGCTTTTCTTTCTAATTCCAATACAACAGAATATTTTTTGGCTTGTTTGTCTACAGGAAATAGTTTTGTATATTCCTTAGACAATACTGTTGTATCATGACTAATTCATTAAGTTTAGTGTTAATCAAAATTCAACTTCACTGAAATACATGACTATTTATTTTAAAATGATTAGTAGAATTTGTACTTCTTATTCTGCTCAGTTCATATTATACCAATAAAATCAAAAAATAAACATTCTTTTATTCTTATGCTTAATATATGTTTGTTTCAGGCGCAGAGTTCTTCATATTACTGATGGCATTGATGATTTAGGAGTTGTGCGTTGGGAGCTTCTCCTCTGCTTGATGTTGGCATGGATTCTTGTGTTCCTATGTCTGTGTAAAGGAGTCAAGTCTTCTGGTAAAGTGAGTATCAAGTGTTTATTTTTCCATACAGTTTCTATGTGTTTTAGCAAAAAATTTTATCACTAAAATAAGCTTTCAGATGAAAATATAACAAAACTTAAATATATATTAAGTGATCTGTAACATTCATTGAATTCTTCACAATATATTCCTTTTCTTGTTTAATTTGCTTAAAACAATGAAAAATATAAAATAAAACTTATTGTTTTTTAAAATATTTTATACATTTTTAATTGCATTTCAGGTTGTGTATGTTACTGCAACTTTTCCATATTTAGTACTAACAATTCTACTCATTCGTGGAGTTACGTTACCAGGTGCTTGGAATGGAATCAAATTTTATCTGGTTCCAAAATGGTCAAAACTCTTAGAATTCCAGGTAAGTGACAACGTATACAGTTTTTCCTTATTTCATTAGTTAATGTTATGAAAGCTTTTGGAATACTACTGATAAATCATAACGGTATGTTTCTGTCGACTTTGTTTTTGACTATAAATTGTAAATGGTTATCTCTGCTTATTCTTGGATATTTTTCTTTCAACTATCTGTTTAATTACTCTGCTTGTTTCTTGTGTTATACCTTGTTGGATATTGTTTTATTCCAAACTATGGTAAAAGTAGAGTTGATTTCTCAGTCTTCCCAAAAGGAAAACAATGCCTCACAAATTTATGCTGCTTAAATTTATAATCAGTATAAGGTAGAATGCTAGTATGTTTTCTCATTCTGTGTATCACTCCAAAAGATACAAGTTAAAATATACATCACTGAAATTCATAACAACCAACAGCATATCTGATTGCATAAAATGAGAATGCAATAATTACATTTAAAATATTATTTATTACACAAGTTGCATATTACTAATATAATAATTGATAATATTATTTTATTTTTTAAATATTTATTGAAGTAAATATCTTAGTTTCTCCCAGATTTCCTGCTACTGTGCTTGGAAAATGTTTATTTGTAAGAAGATTGTTAAGTAATTAGTTTTATCTATTTACATAGCAAAACACTTTGCCTAAGTGGGCTTCTTTGCAAATTTTAGACAAGCTGTTTTGATCAGAGATAGCATTTTACCAATTCTATAGGTCATAAATATATCAACTAATAGAAAGTAATAAACCACTTTATTGTGAAATATTAAGAAAGAAAAAAAGCGACTATTTGAAAAAGATTTCATATAGATTTCACTTTTTATTGTCTTTAATTCTCATTGAATGTCACTCATAGTTTAAAATATTTTATTTCATAATATTTTTTTTTAATCCTAGGTCTGGGGTGATGCAGCCACACAAATTTTCTACTCGGTGGGTATGTCTTGGGGAGGGCTCATTACCATGGCAAGTTACAACAAGTTTCACAACAATGTGTACAGGTGAGATTACTGTGATACTCTAAAGAAAATCACTGATATTAAAAGTTAATAATAGCTTACTGCTTTAAATTGCTTTCATCTTCTGGCATTTTATTGTTCCTATCTTGTTTTTAAAATCTTTAACAAATACAATACATAACTTTTTATATCTTAATTGTGTACAAGCTTCTAAATTGATTTTATAAACTTGGATGTTATGAAATAATAATAATCATTAGTATTATCACAATGATCTGCACATTTAAAAAAGTAATATTTGCAAGCTAAATTCAGATAACAATATATTCACTCATTTTACTATCTGAATAACCTCAAAAGTACAAAACATAAATATAAATTACTGTGATATAAAGATGCATATGGAGAAAATAGAGCATTCATTTTCAATGTATAAGAATTAACAATAATGACAATACTGCTATCATCACCAAATGAATCACAAAACTAATACAAAGAATTTACTTTACTAAAGAATTTACCTTACTAAAGAAACATTCAACAACATTCATAAAGACTTGTTTCAGACTCCATTTCTTTTATTAGTAGTTGAGGCAAAAACTAGTATGTTAAAATTTGTTTTATATTTTTGTACAGGGATGCAATGTTGGTTCCTTTAATTGGTTGTTGTACCAGTATTTTTGCTGGATTTGTCATTTTCTCTGTCCTGGGTTTCATGTCTTATGAAACAGGAATATCAATTGAATCCGTTGTCACACAAGGTGAGTGCAAATTATTTATGCAATGATTCATTTTAAAAGTAATCCATGTACTTAATAAAGGAGATTCTATCATTTTTTTATCCGTTAAAAAATATAAATCAAATAAAAAGAATTAATGTAAGATTTAATTTTCCTTTCAGTTCCTTTTGTTTTGAATCTGCTAGTTAGGAAACTTCCCTCTTTGTATTTTTTTCCATGAAAAAATGCCAGGCTAAACAGAAAATCTCATAAATAACATTGGGGAAGAAAGAATCAAATACAAATAAAATCGTTCACACAGTTTTTCTGTTCAAAATGCAATATCACTCTTCTTAGGAAACATACTTTTCACAGTTATTTCATTAAGAAAATAGTGATAAATGTTTTTTGTTTCTTTTTTTCCAAACATGTATCATAATAATTTATAAAAAAATAAAATACTTCATTTCAGGCCCTGGTTTGACATTTGTTGCTTACCCTGAAGCTGTTACAAAGTTGCCAGTCTCTCCCTTATGGGCAATTTTGTTCTTTTTAATGTTGTTCACTGTTGGTTTAGATAGCCAG